TGGAAAGCTGCCTGGCGGAAAAGGACCTGGGGGTGTTGGTCGACAGCCGGCTGAACATGAGCCGGCAGTGTGCCCAGGCGGCTAAGAAGGCCAACGGCATCCTGGCCTGTATCAGAAATAGTGTGGCCAGCAGGAGCAGGGAAGTGATAGTGCCCCTGTACTCAGCACTGGTGCGGCCGCACCTCGAATACTGTGTTCAGTTTTGGGCCCCTCACTACAAGAAGGATGTTGAGATGTTGGAACGTGTCCAGAGAAGGGCAACGAGGCTGGTGAGGGGTCTGGAGAACAAGCCTTATGAGGAGCGGCTGGGGGAGCTGGGGTTGTTTAGCCTGGAGAAAAGGAGGCTGAGGGGGGACCTCATTGCTCTCTACAACTACCTGAAAGGAGGTTGTAGCGAGGTGGGTGTCGGTCTCTTCTCCCAAGTAACTGGCGAAAGGACGAGAGGAAATGGCCTCAAGTTGCGCCAGGGGAGGTTTAGATTGGATGTAAGGAAAAATTTCTTTACTGAAAGAGTAGTTAAACATTGGACCAGACTGCCCAGGGAAGTGGTTGAGTCACCACCCCTGGAAGTATTTAAAAGACGGGTAGATGAGGCGCTTAGGGACATGGTTTAGTGGGCATGGTGTTGTTGGGTTGATGGTTGGACTCGATGACCTTGGAGGTCTCTTCCAACCTTAATGATTCTATGATTCTATTAAGAGTTTATTCCCACTTCACTCACTGAAAAGGAATCCCTGTGGAATAGTGCAACAAAATCAAAGTAAACAGAACCATTTCAAAATATAAGTAAGAATGGTGGGATTATGACAGGGAACAGATACAATACTGTATTTCTAAAAGTGCTTGATTAACTTCAATTAAGCAAAGTTACTTTCTCTCTATACAAGAAACATCACTTTGTTTGCTCACTGTTTGTTAACTAAACTAAAAAGAAAAACATGTTTTGCAGCAAAGCTAGGAAACATTTTCCTCTGAAGAGAAACACAAACACCTGCAAGATACAGAACCAGGAAACGTTTTGATCTCAGTTCTTTTTACCCACAGTTCGGGTAGCGGAGGAGACATGTCCAAAAGTTACCGCGGGTATTCCAAAAATCTAAAAGTCAACAGTGTATCTTAAGAAATCTGAAAATAAGATCTTCACATTACCCCACCCCCGCAAAAAGCTGTAAAAGATACACCTTTTTGATTACTGTATTCTGAATACCAAAATTTTTTTTTAAGTTAAACAGCTGAATTACGTACAAAGCTTTGTCATTTTTGGTAAAATGATCAACCTTATAAACAACAAAATGCGTTGTGCTTCCTTTATGGGTAACAGCCTAGAAACCTTTGGTGGGGGGAGGAGGGAGGGGACATACTCAAGATGCAGTGCAAGATGTCTTGACTTAAAAACATTATGTTTTTGTGATCGCTTACCAGATTTCCCTCCTAAACTAAAACACGGTGTAAGCAAATGATCTCTTGTAAGGAACGACAGATCAACCTGAACCAGTATCAAACATGAAAAGGTTTCTAACATGGAAACAAATAGTTGTGTTTAGAGTCAAGCAACACAAAAAAATGGTCCAAATCAAGTTTTGGAATCCCTTGTATATTTGAATTTCACAGTGTCTTAAAGTCCACAAAGTCAATGAGCCTCCACAGAGGTCTGTGGTTCTGCACAGAATCAAAACAATAAAAACAGCCAACATTGTAAGTAAGCAATTCTGTATGAAAGAATGACATACTTAATGATAAGGTGCTTCAAGTCTACTAACTTCATAAACTGCAACACTTTAGAGAGCAGATTAAGTGTAATCTAGTAGGATAGCTGCTGCTCAACCATGACGGCATCACATGAAAAAAACAAAACAAAAGCCACACATTCTGCACAAACTGTTCAAGCGGAGGGAGAAAGCATGGACATTTGGGTTGGCAAAGGGATTTCTAGAACATACATGAGTGTCTCCCAAGGACCTCCTTTGGAATGGAGTTTTCTTAGATACAGGCAGCAAAAGATATAATTTTCTCCATCTCCCACTCTCAAACCACCACCTTGAAAACCTACCCACTCTCAGCACAGCAGAAGACAGATACCAATTTGTGGGCTGCTATATAACCTGCTGTTTCGTATAAGACATACATTTCTTCTTTGTTATTATGTTCTCTCTAGATTAAAGCTGCCTGTACCAACTTCCCTTCCAAAATAAATAGACAGCTAAGTAAAAGAAGAAAGAAAACAGTATTGTGTTCAAGTTCACCTCTTTCCTGCATCTGTAAGCTATGCCTCACAACAGGAACCTTGCACAGGCACGCTGCTTTTACATATTCAGACAACATATGTAAATTAATAACTTTACTGTTTACCGAGCCTCAGGCTGTTCAGAACTGTCTTCCTTGAACAAAATTGCATTTGTTTTTTGTTCTCTAGACAGCCAATCCGAGACATTTTAAACATCACCCCAAGACGGAAAAAAAAACCACATTTTAAAATGCAGCTGACTACACTCGCATTTCTTACCCAACACCTTCCTGCTCCTCTCCACTGCCGTTCTCCTCGTTTGCTCAAACATGGCTTCGAGATCGAAAGTCCGAGCTTTCTTCCCTGAAAACGAAAAAAAAGGAGACTGAAACAGACTCACCCTGGCCACAGGCACTCCGGCAGCTCCAGGCCGGGGGAGGTGGGGGGGG